GCTGGCTCACTGTGCTGTCCAGTGGGCTGCAGGGAGTCGGGCAGCTCTGAACGTGGGCCCTGGGGCTGCTGGGACCAAGTCCCACTTCTACCACTTACTCCCTGCAGCTTCTTAGGCAGGTGAAGTGCCTCATTTTTACTGTCAAATAGGACCACATTAGGACTTACTTGTGCACATTATGGGTTCTTTTTTCACTAGCAATATCACATTATTTCACTCACTCTCATTTCTTCTCTGCTACATGAGATCTTTAACGAAACAACCATGAATTTTGAATTGTGTCCATGCTCAATTCTTGGCCCAGTCGCGGTCCTCAGAACGTTCTCAGATAGTGTCTCAGCAATGACTGAAGGCTTCTTGGAGGAGGAGAATGTGAGCCTGGGCTTGATGGGGAGTGGGTAGCTTTGGATATGCAGAGATGGCCGAGGGGTGGCACCCTAGGCTCATGCATGCTTCTTAAGACAGTCATCCCCGCAGAGGGAGGTTTAACCCCACTGGAGTTAACTGAGATGCAGCTGAAGTTCAAGTGCTGCCTGTTGCTTATGTCGAGCTGGTTAAATGGTCCAGGCATAAGGGCAACAGCAGTATTGGAAGAACTGGACATCCCTGGCCTTTGCTATTCCCAGGCTGACCTTCTCAGTTTGAAGAGACTTGGAAGGATGTGGCATTGGGGGCTAGAGAGAAAGGCAAGGGCAACCAGGTGGCACTCAGAGGGGTGGTCCCTGGGCCCCAGCTGGGACAGCTGGGGAGGAGAGAGACTGTCTTCTGCAACCTTGCTGTGCACTGGTGGATTTAGGGTCCTGGCATGGCCAAGAGGTAGGGGATCACACCAGAGACCCCTCTTCCCTCTCTGCTTCCTTTATCTGTAAGCTTGCTCCCTCCCTGCCCAGGTGATGGTGTGGATCCACGGAGGTGGCTTAGTCTCTGGTGGGGCATCAAACTTTGACGGGCTGGCGCTAGCTACCCATGAAAACGTGGTGGTGGTGACTATCCAGTACCGCCTGGGCATCTGGGGGTTCCTCAGGTAAGGCACTGGACAAAGCATCCTTGTTTCCTCGTATTTGCACCCCGGCACCCACCTTCTCATGCCCCAGCCAAACTTGTCCTCTGGGTTCTGAGCTCTGGTGCGTTCTGCTCCCTTTGCCTGGGGTGCCTGCTCTACCTGTCGAGGACCAGTTCCACCTATGATCACCCTGACACACTCCACCCCTCTCGCCTGTGCTGCCCTCTGCGCTGCCCGTTCACATGCAGCAGGGCAGTGGACTGTGGCACATCTCCTCCCAGAAAGGACGGAAGGAGCGGGCTCAGCGAGTGCAGGGGCGTGAAGGCCAGGGTGGCTGGAGGTGGGACGTCACCAGAGATCTGACCCGGGGATCGCTGCTCCCTGGAGAAGTGCTGGCATCAACTCAGCTTGGTTCCTCCTTGGCATCTGGCACAAGTTGGAATCAAGGCTAGAGTGTTCTCTATGCCTTCTCCACGGGCACAGGAAGCAGGTGTCCTGCGGGGTGCAGCCACTGGGACTCTTTTCTGACATCTGACCCTGAGATAGTGGCTGGGGGTTCTGGAGCAGGGTCTGATCACCACTGGGAAGACTCCGAGCCGGAGGAGGGGTGCAGGTCTGCCTGTCGGGGTTGTCGGAGGCCACACATGCCCAGGACATGTCACCTGCCCAGGGAGCCTCTTCTCTTCCATCCGGGAACCGTGCTTCCGCTTCCTGTCCCAGCAACACGGCCCCAGACTCTCTCCACCTCCTTCCGCCCTGTCTCCTCCACCCACACCAGGCCGATTCCCTCCTGTCTGGGCCTCCTGTCTGTGCTTGTCCAGGTCCCTGATGACCTCAGCCCCTCTTGGCGCAACTTCACGTGACCTCTCAGCAGTGGCCTCTCACAGATGACCACTCACGGCTCTTTGAAATGTCTCCTCCTCTTGGCTCCTGGATGCCTCTCACCCTCTGGCTGCTCCTTCTCGGTCCCTCTGACGGCCACCGTTCCTTCTGCATGCTCAGGCCTCTGAGTGTCCCCCCGGCCCCCTACACTGATTCCCTGAGTGATCCCAGCAGCACGGCCACAGCTTCTGTTGGGAGCCCCCGCCTCTCCTTGACCCCAGGATCCATCTTTAACTCTGTCTCCTTCTCCCTGCTCAGCAGTCAGAGTGACCACGTGACACAGACGGAGCCACGCCACGCTGAGCAGAGGGCTCCCGCTGTCCTTGCAAGGACCTCTGCAGTTCTTCTGGCTGTGGCCCAGGGAGCCCATGTCGGGTGGGATGGCCTTGGGCAGGGAGCAGAAGGAGAGTGGCCGCAGCTATTTCCTTGATACCTCTGTGCCCTGGAAGGCCTCTGGCCTGGGATGGCAATGGAGGCCTTGAAGGTTTCTCAGATGGTCTGGGCCTTTCCCAGTGGTCAGAATGATTGACCCTGCTCACCTGTTTCTCAAGGGGTCCCTCTGCTCCACCCTTGCATGCCTTCTATTTGCTCCTTCCGTATCATACTGCAAATTTTCCGAATCTTCCTGCTCTGCTTCTCTTTGCTGTCCAGGCTCATTGTGATTCTTGCTGGGAGCAGCCAGTAATACCCGTGCCACCATCTGAGGGCTTTACGGCTTAGAAGTGTCTTCCACCAAATAAACGATTCTGTCATTTTTAGCCACAAGCTTGGTTCATCCAAGTGTCCTGAATTGCTATGACAAGGGTCATCTTTACTCCAATCTGATCCTCGTTTCCATCGGAGACACTTCTACTTGTCCCCTGGCCCTCACTAGAATCAACCACGGTCACCCCTTACAGCTTTGGAGGCTTTTCCAAGCCCACTCCTGCTCCAAACTCTTCCAACCTTTTTCCAAAGTCTCGTCCACATTTTCGGGTATAGCTATTTCACTGATCCCATTCCTCAGTAAAACAATTTTTTTTTTTTGAGAGGTGGGTACTGGTGATTGAATCCAGGATTACTTTACCACTGAGGTGTATTTCAGTACTTTTTATTTTTATTTTGAGACAGAGTCTCACTAAGTTGCTGAGGGTGGCCTCGACCTTTCAATCCTCCTGCCCCAGCCTCCTGAGTCACTGGGATTACAGGTGTGCACCACCACATCCAGCAGTACCAATTTTTTATATTAGTCCATTTTCCATTGCTACAACAAAATCCCTGGTACTGGGTACTTACTTCATAAGAGAAGAGGTTTATTTAACTCACAGTTTTGAAAGCTGAGAGTCCAGACAACATGGAGCGAGCTGTGGGTAGGGCCCCTTGGCTGTGTCACATTACAGCAGATGGCGCGTTAGCAGCACATGTGAAAATGAGAGAGACAGAGACAGGGAGCCAGACAGCAGGGAAGAGCCATCTTGCTCTTTTATAACAAACCTCTTCCAAGAGCAATGAGAGCCCATCAGAACAATATCAATTCTTTCTACGGGCAGCACCCTCAATGATCCCCGCACCTCTGGCTCCACTTCTTAAAGGTTACACCACCTCCAACGTCACCACCCTGGGGACCACACAGGCACCACTGGGAGAAAAATCATATCAAACCACAGCAAGCCCCCAGCCCATCTCTGGTCCTGAGAGCCCCGTCATGACACCTCTACCCCCACCTCACCCTGTTATCTCGCAGCACCGGGGATGAGCACAGCCCAGGGAACTGGGGCCACCTGGACCAGGTGGCTGCTCTGCGCTGGATCCAGGACAACATTGCCAAATTTGGAGGGGACCCAAACAATGTGACCATCTTTGGAGAGTCAGCAGGAGGAGAAAGTGTCTCTGTTCTTGTGAGTGCTCCTGCCCCCGCCCCACCCCGGACCTCTTGGAGACCAGTGGATCCAGCCACAGGCTCCTCTGTTACAAACACCTGGGTTCAGGGTTGACTCTGCTCACTGCCTGGCTTCAGATGGGGGAGAGTCAGGGCCCAGACCCTCTTTTTGTCCTGGGGCCAGCAGCATCTCCAGCGCAGACTGCAAGAGGGACTTTTCTCCCTCCTTCCTAATCATTTTAATATTATGAACTATAAATAAAAGGTCAGGAGGAGGGTTCGATAGGAGGTCACTGCTGCAGTGGAAGCCAGATCTGCGTGCTGAGGGATGTGCTCACCAAGACAGTCAGGGGCTTCCTCTGGGGTGGTCTGATGCCTGGTCCATGTCCATCAGGGAGGCTAGCAGACTTGAACTGAAAGATCGTGTGCCATGGGGTGAGGTCAGTGGGAGAGAGTAGGGGTGGAAGAGGGAATGGAGAGGGGTGGGGAAGGGGACACGGACACAGGCACAACTTGGGGACGTGAAATGACTTGATGTGGGGAGTGAGGCTGGGAGGGAAGATCTAGAAGGTTTGAGGAGCCTTAAGAAATCCTCTGATACCTTGAAGTTGACCCCGGGGTCAACTGGTCACTGTAGTTTTCAAACATCTACTGGTTTCATAGTTGGATACTCAGAAGAAAATGGTGATATATATTCTTAAAGTAGAAAAGAAAGAAAAAAAAAGCAAATAATCCCAAAGAAGAAAGAAGTCCTTCGTATTTCCACTGTGCAAGGAGAGTCACTGTGGAGGTTTTGAGATGCATTTCTCAGTCTTTTTTCTAAGACTTTCTCTCTCCCCCACCTTTCTGTCAGTGATCTCTCCTCTTGGCCTCTGGACCACCTACCGCGGGTGGCCTAGGCATCGACATTTTAGCACTTTCCTCGACATTTCAGGATATCATGACTGCTTCCCTAAAGGCCAAACACCCTTCTGCTGCAATATTTTGTTTAATTATTGGGTAGCATTTCATGATAAGGCTGAAAAAGAAAAATGTTTACTTACCCAACTTCATGACATTTAGAACCCCGAATGATTTCCAGTTTTTGCGATAATAATCGTCACGCACGGTGGCTGGGTGCCTCCATAATGGAAGGATCAGAACTTGTGGCTCGGAGCTGCCCAGCTCCCTCTCCAGTGCCTTTGCTTGTCATGATGGGCCCACGCCACTCCCAGTTCTCTCTCTTACTCGGTGCTCCGGTGTCCCCTGCGGAGGTCCTCCCAGGGGAGACAGGCCCAGGAAGCAGGCCAAGCCAGGATGGGCACTGAGCTGTCCCATCTGCTGGCTGGGTGCCAGCATCACCAGAGAACAGGCCAGGGCAGAGTTGGCTTGGGGGACCAATGTGGCCCTGATTCTTCCCTGTGAGCATAACCTCCACTCTCTCCGCCCCCCTCCCTCCCCAGGTGTTATCTCCCTTGGCCAAGAACCTCTTCCACCGGGCCATCTCTGAGAGCGGCGTGGCCCTCAGCCCCTGCATGTTCAGGAGGAACACCAGTGTTGGAGCTGAGGTAGGTCTCACCTCCGACAGTTCCTGCACAGTTTCCTCACCTCTCCAGAGATCCTCGGGGGTCTTTCCACGGGATCTGGGGGGACATTCTCAAAGAGCCAGTGGAATGAGGATAACTGAGCAGAGAGGAAAGGGGGCCACCTTATCCAGCCTCCCGTTTGGAGCCAGGACACTGGGGTGGAATGTGGAAATGGTTCATCGAGCTCAGCAAGTGACCAGGGCAGAGCTTCCATTCAAACTCTCCAGACACTTGACCTCCAGCAAAGTGCAGTGTCCATCACCCCCACCTCTCCCAGGGCTTCAAGGCAGGTGTGGGGCTGGACAGGGAACAGTGGCCTGGGATTAGGTCATGTCTCTGTCGCAGACTGAGTCCTAGTGGTTCCACTTGCATGATGTGGGTCTGGACTGATTCTTCTCTGGGGACCTTGTGGCCAGGGCTGGTTTCCGGAGAATTCATTTACTGATTTGTTCTATATTCCACAAAGTTTTGATATATCATATATCTAGTCACCACTGAAAGCATCCATTCCAGCTGGAGAGATAGCTTAATGACATTAATGATCACATATCGTGGAAATGATACGATTTCAACTCTAACAAGATAATTAAAGGAACCAATTAAAGGAACAGGATGGGTCTGGTGGTGCAGGCCTATAATCCCAGAAACTTGTGAGGCTAAAGGAGGAGGATTGCATGCTTGAGGCCAACCTCAGCAATTTAGTGAATGCTGTCTCAAAATAAAAATAAAAAGAGTTGGGGATGTATCCTGGGGTTAGAGTGCCCCTGGTTCAGATTCCCGTAATGTGAGAGAGACACACACAGACAGGGACAGGAATAACAGAATCTGATCTAATGATTAAACCCACAAGGAGCATTTAGTCCCGGTGTTATCATCATCAACAGGGTTAGTTCTGAGGACCACCCATTGGATCTCCCGATGTGGCGGGATTTGGAGCTGCTTTTGGCAGAGTGGCTGGAGAGCACTGGATAGAAAGGGGCTGACAAGCAGGAGGGAGGACTTGGAGACACGAGAATCTGTAGAATGTTTGAGATTTGGTTCAGAGGGTTCTTTAGTTATAAGCAACAGATGCCCACATGCCCAGGCTCATTTCAAGAAGGAGGCATTTATTTATTTTTTTCAAGGAAATTAAAGTGGCAGAGATGAAGCCGCACTTTGTGAACAAAAGAAATCACAAATTTTGGAGCAAAGGGGATCCAAGACTCTCTTACTCCTGCCCTTTCGCTGAGCACCGATTCTGTAGCAGGCCCTGTATGAGGCTCTGGGGAGCCCACAGGCCCCTACCCACCATGTCCCCATCATCGCAAAGCCTACCCTCGTCCCTCTATGACTTCTCCAATGTGGCCACCACCTCTGCCCCTGGGATTGATTAGGAACTCCAGTTTGGTTGCAGACAGCGGAAGCTTTCTTCTCTGTTTTAGAAAATGAGTGGCTCCCTCTAACAGCTCTCGGTCACCATGGGATTGGAAACCAGACTGTGGGATTTGGGGTTCCACGCTCCTGTTAGACCCTCGTGCCTATTTTAGCAGAGATCAGCTCACAGAGACGCAGCTGTGTAACCAGCTCGTGCCACGATTTCAACTAGTTAACAGAGGCAGCACTAAGTGGGGCCCAGAACCCACACCTGCCAGCCTGGGGTGTTTTCAGCTACCTACCGCAGCCTGCAGCCTTCCAGTCAGGCACCGCGGAGGGGAGGAGCACTGCTGTTGAACTCTGCTGTTATCTGTGGTCTCTACAGCAAGTTGCTGCCGCAAGTGGATGTCCCACACACAGCTCCGCCGCGATGGTTGAGTGCCTGCGCCAGAAGTCAGAGAAGGATCTCTTGGAGACCACAAAGAAAATGGTAGGTGCCTCCATTCCCTGGGCCCCCACCCTGTTCACCAGGCCCCAGGCCTGCTGTCTTCTTGCCCGCATCAAGTCACTCAGTTTCTCACCTCTCAGGAGCAGTGTCAGGCTCCTGATCCCAAGTGGTAGTTTTGTTTTGCCCTTTTTATGGTCCAACACCTCAAATGTCAACCGGTCCAACAATCACATGATGCAGAGTTGCATAGCAATCCCCCGGCTTCATCAAAAGTCAATATTTTGTCATTGCTGTGCTCAGATGTCTTTTGAAGAAGTTGAACATTTTATATCCACAGAAGTAACCACCATCCTGCATTTGGGGGTTGAGGGTATTAAGCACAAAGATTTTCAGGAAGGCATTACAATGTGGCTAGCATTGATTCAGAAACTATAACCCAGTAGTGGCCCAATCCTCTACGTTTGTTGAGATTTTGCCTCAATTGTGAGGCTAAGATGACCATCCATTCATGCATTCCTTCACCTATCACCCACCCCTCCATTCATCCATCCATCCATTCATCATCTAATTGTCTGTCTATCTAACCATTAATCCATTCAATCCATTGATATCCTACCATAAATCCAGTATCAATCCGTGATGTTTCCTTGAACCATTTCCAATCATTTTAACATTCTCGCATCTTCTAGCACCATAAATCTTCACTCCATCATCCACTCCAACCAAAGCAATGATCCATCCTCCATATCTAGCTGTCAGGCTCAATTCGCGCATTCATCTGATTCACCCCCACCCCCTGAACAACTGCTTGGGGGGAGCGTGGAGGAGGGTGTCCAGGGAGCGATGCAGGTAGGATTGAGCATGGCTCTTGCTCACCAAGAACCATCCCCAAAGAAACACGCCTACGGGTTCCATGGTTAGATGAGGTGAGAGTTCAAAGAGAGGACGCATTCATTTAGTCAGCTGAGTGCTTTCCAGATGACACTGGAAGACTGGTGGACCCTCATTGTGGTTTGTCACCACAGAGAAGCTTACCCAGCAGAACAAAGCCCGTGCATGCGGGGCCAATGGACCCCCTCCCTTGGTTGCAAGGTGTCAGTGTGAGCTCAGAAGAAGCTGGAACCCTGGGCCTCTTTATCTGGACCCTGGACAATGCTCCTAGGCCCTGTGGCAGGCCACGGCATGAGGCACTGCCCACATGTCCATGGGGTGAAGCCAGTGTGACTTTGGAACTTGGGTCCTGGCTCTTCAGGTTCACACAAGGTACGCCAGGTTTTCCAAGAAGTAAACAAGTGTACTTTCTAATGCCTTGAAAGAGGCAAATCCACCCCGTTTTGGCACAAGAGGACCCTGCTTATAAGGAGAGGAGGGCACAACCACAGACGTCCTCTCTGGAGCTCCGGCGGCCCTCACTGTAGGTCCCAGGGTCGTCCTTCCCTTGCTGGCACCTGCCCCTGCCCTCTCTTGTGCCTCCACCCTGTGCCCGTGTGCAGCTCAGACCCTGTCCTGACTGCTTGCTCTGGGCCCAGCCAAGGAGGCCCTGGGCGGGAGGCCCTGATACCTCTGGGTATCAAAAATCAGAAAAATCAGATTTTCCTCCAGGAAGCCTTTCTCACCACGTCTTTTGCCTTTGTCTTTACAGAAATTCTTTAGTCTTGATTTATCACAAGACCCCAAAAAGGTAAGGCCCTTTGGCTTGTTGATTACAGGTTTTGCATCTGAAGACATTTGAGCTCCAATTCACAATGAATGAAAGAATTGTTCTTTGTGGAATCATAATCACTCCTTGCGTATATGTTTCTGAAGCCCAAAGAGGGGAGGTCCCTTGTTAGGGTTACATAGGCAGGTGGCCCTCTCCCCTGACTGCAGCTCAGGCGCTCCCAGCCATCACCTCTGCGTGCCCTGGACTCAGCCACCCTTTTCCTTTACATTTCCTGCTTCCAGAAAGGCCCAGTGGGAGGAGACCGCTCTAGGACATTCTCAGGAGGAAGAGATAACTAGACAAGGGGCTCAGGAGTCTTTGCTGAGGAGGACACATCCTCGGGAGACCCCAGGGTGATTAGCGGTGCAGGGAGGGAGGGAAGGAGGCCCCAGGATCTCAGTCTTGAGGACATGGCCCTCCTCCCAGGACCTAGGGAAACCCCAACAGGATCCTCCCGACTCCTCCTTCTTTCCCTCCCACCTCCTAATGGTTCCAGGATCTGGTGACATCGGCTGAGCACCCTCTTACAGCCCTGTCCTCGGCTCCCTCCCAGGAGTTCCCAGAACTTCTCTTAAAAGTCAGGATGAAATGAGATCGATTCAGACATCCATCAGAGTTTCAGAAGCACTGACTACCTTGCAGGATGTGATTTGGCAGCTGGGATTTGGCAGTGGCACTGTTGTAGGGACAGAGGAGGCAAGGCACCGAAGACAGCAGGAAACAGTTTTATTTGGCTGCAGCCAGGTTCAGAGGGCACAGCTTTTGCTGTAATCAATCAATCCCCTGAACCCCGAGTTCAGGGAGTTTCAGAGTTTTATACCCAGTGTGTAAAGGGAGGGGCTCAGAAGTTCACATAAAAGCAGCTTTTTCTTTCACTGTTCTGGGCAAGTTGACCCTTCAAGGACCACACCTGAGAAGGGGAGAGCTTCTTCTCCCCTCTCTTTCCTCCCCCTGCCAGCTGTTACCATGGAGCCCGGTTGGTAAAACTTATCTTGAAAATGTAGACATCTCTGTGAAGCCCAGCTCAAGACCAGAGGCCTTGTTTGCACTTTTCTTCAAAGGACTATACTGGATGTTTGTGAAAAACTAGTAAGGGGGTGTCCAGCACCTGGAGTGCTGGTATCTTCTCGGCCAGTGGCCAAGTAAAACAGGGCGACATGAAAATAGGAAGTTCATGTACAATGGACTCTTTTGCTGACAGTCCTAAGTCAGCCGTGGTGAAGAGGGCTCTCCTGTGGAGAAAGGGGGAGCCACTTCAGCACAGGCAAGAGTCCCTGCTTTCCTGAAGCGTTTCCTTCCAGGGGGAAGAGAGCACAATGGGAAAAAAAATAAAATAACATGAGAGATGTGATGTGTGGTCATGGTCAGAGGTAAGGTCAACGAGGTTAGGGGCTGGTGTAGGGGCACACGCCTGTAGTCCCAGCGACTCAGGAGGCTGAGGCAGGAGGGTCACGAGTTCCAGCTGCCTTAGCCACTTAGTGAGACCCTGTCTCAGAAGGAAAGAGAGAGTTGCCCAGTGGTTTGGATGTGAATAGAGGGGTCAGCAGATGGGTTGATGAGCAGGTGACCTTGGAGTCAAGCTCTGTGAGTGTTCCTGGCAGAGGGGACAGCAACTTCAGGGGCCCAAGAGGCCCCTGTGTGTGGAGTGGAGGGAGCAAGTTGGAGGCTGAGGAGGTCCTGGTCATTGGGGTTGGGTGGTCACTGGAAGGACGTGACTATGACCCAGCAGGAGATGGGAGGTGCTCAAGGGCTCTGAACAGAGCAGGGATGTGGTCTTCGATTTTATGACAGTCCGATTCACCGCAAGCTAGAAGGGGCAGAGGAGAGGCCAGAGCAGACACAGGAAGGCCGGCGGACAGCCTGGCCTCTGCGAGCCAAGGGAGCCTTGTGCCTCAGACCAGGGCCAGAGCGGTGGCTGGAGTCCTGTGAGCTCCGAGAGGAAGTGAGGGAAACGGGGGTGCCCCTGAGTTCTCTGACCCACGCTGCGGCCCTCACAAGGAACCAGCAGCAGCCAAGGAGTGGACGGTGGCAATTACTGTGGTCCCCACTGCTGCTGATGTCACTGTCCCCCCACAGGCTGTCCCCGTAGGGCCTCAGGTCTGTCTTCTGGATTTGTACCACTTTCTATTCCTCTTTCGGTCCTGGCTTTCACACCCCTGGTGTCACCAGACTTGCCTTTCTTTATAAAGCACGTCCTCTCCCTTCTTAAAAGCCTGGCTTTGTTTGCAAAACAGATTGGCTTCCTTCCATTGAATCGGCCTTCGAAGCCTATCTGAGTGTCTGAGTGCCTGTGATGTGTCCCAGGGTGGGCAGAGAAGGTGCCCTACAGAGGCCCTGTGTCTAACCCTGCCCCAGGGCATTCCGTGAGCACAGGGACTTTGGCAAGCTCATCTGTCCCCTCCCTCATGCCATTCCCACAATGTTCCCCAGAGGGAAATGTGGCCCATGGAGTACGGAGCTGGAGAGGGGCACCAGAGGCTGGTGTCTGCTGGGGTCTGCAGTAGCCTGCGCATCAGTAATACCCAATGTTAACTGAGCCTTTTCCAGGTATTGAGCACCTGAGCATTGCGTGTGTTCTGTCTTTTGCTCCCTGTGGGTTCCTAGATGAGAAAACCAAGCGACCCATGAGGGGAGGTTACTTTTCCAAGTAACTGGCTAACAGGTAGCAGAGCCAGGGTTCAGCACCAGGACACAGGCTCTTCACAGCTACACCTTGGTGACTGAGTTTGACATAACGATACCCAGAGCCAGCTTCCCAAGTGGTGACACGTGCATCCACTTGACTGTGACCCTGTATTTTGCATCAAAGGTAAATCAGAAAATTAAGAAATTTATCAACGTAATATCAGTCACCCTGGATTCTTTAACTCATGGTATTCCATTCAGTGGAGGCATCTTGAGGGCGGGGTGCTCTGCTCCTGTGCAAAGCAAACGGTTGATCTGTGAAAACTCATATTTAAATAGAGATGGATAATTTTCCAAGGCATAGAAAAGATGTTTGCTTAATGTTGTCAGTTAGACAGCAAGAAAGCAATCACCGCACAAACTATTCATCATAAGCTTTTACAAAGAAATAAATACTTAAAAAATAAATGTAGATAGCAAGATAAAGCTGGGGATACAGCTCAGTGGGACAGCACTTGTCCATCCTGTATGAGGCCCTGGATTCCATCCTAGTACCACAAAATAGAGAGAGGTTGGAGGGGGGTGGGAGGGAGAGAGAGTCAATCCTCCTTAATCATCAATTCTGTCCTTGTGAATTCTCCTATTTGCAAAATCAAACGCACAGCACTTTGGTGGTTATTTACAGATAGGTGCAGAGGGCTAAAAGTCTGAGCCACATGAGACATGTTCCCATCTGAAATCAAACAAAACAATTGTGTCTTCTTGTTTCATCTTCTGTCCTAACTAGTGCCATCTATTTCATGCCAGTTGTGTGTTTTGTTGTTGTTGTTTTGTGAACATTGGTGCTTTTCATTAGTACTTTCTCTGTTTAAAATGCCCACTCGGCACAGTGCAGATGCGCTGCCTGGTGTTCCTTAGCTGGGTGCCTTGGGGAGAAAATGCCTGTGACAGACAGGCTGGGCTCAGCCTCGGGCTGTGGTGCTCTTGGCCACGCACCAGGAGCAGCACCTCCACAGCATCCCTGAGCCTGCCTCTCTGCAGGTGAGGCCATCCTGGGAGGTGCTGATATAACATCTGGGTGAAGAAGAGGTTAAACCTGGGAACTCGTGAAATGAGGAAGGAAGGACATTAAGAGCCGGTATTGGACAGCATGGTTGGGAGGCTGAAGACAAAGCAGTTTGCATGTGGGTGACCCAGGGCCAGGGAGATGTTAATCCCTCCTGCCTGGTGTGTTATTATAAGTTAATACGACGCATAACTGATTCTTTGTGAGAAATCCATGTGATCTAAAGCATCTTAAACCAGAGACTTACACATAAAACAAAGTCCACGGGCCTCATAGGAACCTTGGTCCTCATTTCCCCGTGGAGCTCTGGCTCAGTATCCACCGATCCAGGATTCACGGCACTTTACAGAACGTAACGACCGTGAATAGCAAGAAGCAACCACAGAGGGTGTGCCTGGTCCACGGCGCAGCTGTCTAGGGCAGCAGAATAGGTCACCAAGAGACAGAGAAAATACCCCACAAGGTGTGCAAGACAGAAAGCTTATTGAAGACCCTTCAGGGGGACGGCCTGGTGGTGACAGGCTGGACAGGGCATATCCACCCCTCAGGGTGCTTTGTCCAGTGGTGGATGACCACCTTCACCGTGCTCTGCTCTGTGTCAGTGACCTCAGGGAGAGGGGTTTCGTAGGCTGGGCTACAGAGCAATGGCATCGTTCACTTCACTTGTCCCTTGGATGACCAGCCTCTCAAGGAACTTGGCATGCATGCAAGTAAGCAGCTTTCCACAGAGAACACTCACGGGCCCTAATTCCTAGCATGTGTGAGAGCCAGTCAGCATCCTTCAAGATAATATTATCTAGGCATCTGACCTGCTCTCATTGTTCTCCAAAAAAAAAAGAAAGAAAAAAAAGGAAAGGGCTGGAGATATGGCTCAGTGGTTAAGCACCCCTAGCTTCAATCTAGGCTGAGTTCTTGGGAACATAAAGGAGCATTTCAGGGATATGGTACTTTACTCTCCTCCTTTCTCCAAGAATGACACAGATCAACAGAGAGATATAAAGACAGACAGACAGACAAATACATAGAAATATATGCACATTTCAAATTGAATGGTAGATAGGTTTAAGTGTGTATGTGTATCTATCTCTCTATATCATAGATCTCTCTATGTATGATAGGTTTAGCATCCCTGATCTGAAAATATGAAATCTAAAATGCTCCAAAATATTTTGAGGGCTGTAATAATGTCATGGGTAGAAAACTCACACGTGCCCTCATGTGACAAGCCCTGGTGTAATTCCAGGTACATTGAAAATAGTGTGTTCAGACTTGAGTACCATTTCTAAGATATCCAATTACGCAATATTCCAAAAATAAAAAGAATCTTTAAAATCAGGAAGACTTCTGGCTGCAAGCAACTTAGATAAAGAATACCCAACCTGGCTGGGCACGATGGCGCATGTCTGTAATCCCAGTGACTTGGGAGGCTAAGGTTCAAGGCCAGACTCATCAATTTAGCATGGCCCTAAGCAACTTAATGAGACTTTCTCAAAAAAAAAAAAGTTAGAAAGGGCTAGGGATGTGGCTCAGTGACTAAGCACCCCTAGCTTCAATCTCTGGTACCCAAATAAATAAATAAATAACCTGTATATATTTCAATTTAAGTGAATATCTCTGCTCCCCCGACTAGTTGTCACCTTATCAATGCTACTAATTTCTATCCTATCAGAGACTTATTCACCTTATTAGGAGCCTGCGTTTCTGTTGCCACTGCCAGTGGCCATATATATGGTCCATGGGGCTGGCCTGGCCCTCAGTCAGGCAGAGGGGGATGGGCGTGTTTCCTGGGGAAGGAGAATCACAGACATGACCTGCTCTCTTCCCTAGAGATACCCTTTCCTCACAACTGTGATTGATGGGACGGTGCTACCAAAGGACCCTGAGGCGATTTTGGCTGAAAAGAATTTCAACACAGTCCCCTACATCTTGGGAGTCAACAAGCATGAATTTGGCTGGTTTATTCCAAAGGTGAGAACATACAAGCCATTTAAACACATGGACCCCTGATCACCTATCTTCCCTCCAACTTCTGGTCCCCTGAGTTCTCCAGTCTCAAATCTCTTCCTCTGAATTCAGTGCAACTGTCCCCATTGCCACAAGTCAACATTTCCTGGGATGCCCCAACTGACCCTGGGGTGCCAGAGCCCCGGCAACCCCTCCCTTCAAACACTGATTGTTTTCCTATTAAAGAATCCCAACTTGTCCAGGTGGGAGGGCCAGAGTAGAGACAATAATTGTAATAAATAAAGTAAAAAGCAAAGTATCTTTAGGAAGAGGAAGGAGCCGGGGGGTTCAGAGAGTGAGGTCTGGGCCAGCCCCTTCCACCTTGGGCTTGGACTCATGGGCCCATAGGTCACCCCATGTGCTCCCAGGCACCATATGGACAGAGTCAGAGAAACTTGCTTCTCTTCGAGTTGAAACTGGCTTCTGAAAGGGAAGAGGCTTGTCTTCTCTTAAAGATAAACCAGTTGAAAGCAAATGGAACAGGGTTTCTTCAGTAGTAAGCTCTCAGTGGGGCAAATTCCCTGATGGCAAAGGCTGGAAATGTCTTAAGTCTGGGATGCTGGGGAGGCACTGTGGGTGGGGGGTGCGTCACCTGGCTCACCTGTGGCATTTGGTGATCAGGCTCAGCTGCGGTAAGGCCCCCACGGAGGTTAGGGCTTATCCTTCTACCAGGACTGGAAGAGAACTCAAGACTGATGCCTTCAAAGGTTCACATTTCAAAGTGACAATTTTTTTTTTTAAATGCTCTCAGGTCCTTGAGGAAACAGTTCTGTATGGGATATTTCTATCTTGAAGGACAGAGAAAGAATTGATAATTGCAAACTTTGCAATGTAAATGCCTTCAAAGAGGGTCTGGGGCCTGCTTGGCTGGAGAAAAACAATATTTCCACCTGGAAATATGGCAGGCATTTTAGAGGGCTGGGCTCCTCCTAGGACATGTCCTTAAGCCACTAGCAGCCAGGCTCGAGTTGGGTCAATGCAGAGGTTGGACAGGATTGTCACATGCTGAGAGTTCTACAGTTCTCACTTCAGAAGGATTTCAGAGGTTATGACTAAAGGACAAACCCTCATGGCGGATTTTGGCTTCTTCAGTCTGTGAAGGTGTGATCTTTCCCCTCGGTCCCTAAGCCCTCTACTTCAGCCTTCGCCTGGCCAGCACCTGCCTTCTCTGGGCTGACCCTTGGCTGGGTTCTAGCTGATAGACAGAGGTTGACCTAAAGATAAAGATATATTTAAATAGCAAGGACAGCTTCTCCTAAACATCTGTTTATCTTCTTTGCACTCCTTGACTTTCTAGGTACAAGTTTATTTGATTCATTTATTTTGTTTAATGCATCAAAGACCCACACCCTTCAGAGAGGAGCCAAAGGACCTTCATTCTGCACTGCTGTGTTGTTTGTCTCGTTTGGTTCTTTCCCTTAATTCCTGATGATTCACAAATGCTAAGCCATTTTTCCCCCCAACAGGCGATGGGCTATCCACTCTCTGAAAAAACATTAGACCAGAAGATGGCCACGAAACTCTTGTTGAAGTCCTTCCCACTTGTTGTAAGAGTCTAGGAATCGTGGGGGTTGGTTAAGAAAGAAAGAAGGGCTGGGGGCTTGCTCCAAAGTAAAGATCAATTCCAAGGCAGAGCAAAGCGTGGGATCTGGTGTCCATGATCAATGGGGCCTTCTTTGCTGGCTGGTCACTTTATTGATGATTTCAGAACCTTTCAGAGAAGCAGTCTACTGATGCCATCACGGAGTATTTAGGAGACACAGAGGACCCTACCAAAAAGAAAGACCAGTTCATGGACTTGATGGGAGATGTCATGTTTTGTGTCCCGACTGTGCTTACGGCCCGTGGCCACAGAGGTGAGTCTCAGAGGTGGAGTGGGAGAGGGAAATGGACTCACCAGCCTGATGTGGGATCTACCCGGCTCCAGCACAGACAGATGTGGGATCTGTGAAGTTCAGACCTGAGGGAGGGTTCCATGTGGCCCCGGGGGAGGGTGCTCGCCTGTTTGGTTTCTGCTAGTAGCAAAAAAAAAAAAAAGGTTCAAGTGCAAGGAGTTTATTTGGGAGGTGATGGGAGGTGATCCTGGAAAACACCCGTGGGGAGATGAGGAAGGGAGACAGGAAGAAGATAACAGTTGTCATAGTTCAAATTTGAATGTCCCCCAAGGCCCATGTGTTAGAGATCTGGTCACAGCCAATAGGAACATTGGGACAAGGGGGAATTTTTAGAAGGGACAGCCTAGTTGAATGAAGTTAGGTCCCCAGGGACTTGGCCTTGAAGGAGATATTGGAACCCCAGACTCTCTCTTTGTTTCCTGAGTGGCATGAGGTGAACAGGACACCTGAAGGCATGGTGTCCCCCGCTGCTGCAGGTCCTAGCAACAAAGTCAAATGATTGTGAACTATAATCACAAGCCAGGACGGGTCCTTCCTCCTGACAAGTCGGTTGTGTCCCATGTTTGGTTTAGCAACAGGAAGGGAACTGACACAGAAGCCAATGGAGGACGTCCCGTCCAGCGATGCCTCCCAGGGTCCTGTGGCCCTGGGGAGCTATGAGAAACAGGCCCTCCTTCTGGGTGCAACTGAAGAGCCTCACAAGACCTTTCTTTTCCTACCAATCTGCATCCACCTAATCTGCAAGCCAGGAAATGTCTCCCTGGTCCTGACTTCGCGACCCATGCTGCAAGCGTTTTCAAATTCAGTACTTTATAAGCATCATTTAAAAAAAAAACAGCGGATCTAACATCTGCCCAAGCGCCCTCAGTACATGTGCCAAATCCACTTCGCCTCCTGAGGGTTCCCAGGAAGCTCTTCTGCCCTTCCATAAACCTGAGTGTGTCTGCCACTCTGTCTGATCTGTGATGTCCCCACCTGCGTGTCATGGGGCTCCGCTCATGCTGGGCTTGTGTCTTTGCTCTGAGATTTCAGAACTTTTGAGTTCAGGGATTTGCCAGGACTATATGGATTTGGTCAGCTTTTATTTATTGTATTTGTCTCATTCTTCCCAATCAAAAGAGTGCCTCTGAATATAAAATTCATATGTTATAATTGTAGAAAGTTTTGAAAAGAGGAAACCAGATATCACTTAGAAGTCTTCTACTCAGAGGCATTTGCTATAAATTTTTTCTATATTATCTTCTGATAATTTTTCTACATCTTATATATGGTTTAAAATTAATTTATATAGTTATTTTGGTCAGGAAGCACTGTATTTGGGAGATTTCCTCAATGTCAATGAAAATCCGTAAAAATATATATTATTATCAGGTACATGAAACCTCCTATTTCTATCCTATTGACTGCTTGTATTGTGATTCAACAAATAACATTATGCAGACTCTTATGTGCATAAATGATTAATCATATGTCTTCTGTTTTTTTATGATTGAGTCTTAGTCACTAAACTGGACCACAGGAACATTTTAAAGCTCTTGATACATATTGCAAAATTGCTTTCCAGTGTATTCAAATGCAGATTTCTTTTCTTCTTCTTTTTTTCCTGGTGCTAATGATCAGACCTTGGGGTGCTGTACCACTAAGCCACATCTGCAGCCCTTTTCAGCTTTTATTTTGAGACAGGCTCTCACTAAGTTGCTTAGGGCCTCACTAAGTTGATGAGGCTGGCTTTGAATTTACAATCCTCCTGCCTTAGCCTCCCAGACCACTGGGATTACAGGTGTGTGACACCACCAAACCCCTTGAAGACTATAGACTTCTTAACTTCTTTTATCACTTGGAATACTGAGGTTAAAAATTAAAAATAGGGGTAAGGGTGGTGGCTCCTTGGTAGAGCACTTGCCTTAGCACATGTGAGACAAAGGGTTCAATCCTCAGCAGCACATATAAATAAATAAATAAAATAAGGGTATCGTGACCATGTACAACTAAAAAAAAATTTTTTAAAATAAAATTAGTGCTGCAAATTCCATAAGCCTTCCCCACAGAGAGAGAGAGAGAGAGAATATATGAATCTCTGGGCAGCATGCTGCCTAAAATAAGTTCTCTCATCCAGCAAATTTTCCTCTATGGTTAGGTCCTGAGATCCTTTCTAAAGTATGTGAGTAGCAAAGGCAAAGTTCACCTCTTCTTTCAATAAGCTTGACCTTGATGCTGTTTCATAAGAGGATTATATAGAAGGATACTTGTTCCCAAGGTCACTTCTTGCTAAACCTCAGTGATGGGGGCTGAAAGGGCCATAATAATTTATTTAAATAATTTATTTAAATTATTCTACATCCTCATGTTGAGATAACCTCTACTGGAAATCATTTTATGGATGAATATTTAATGATGTAAAGAAGTGATTACAGTGTATTACAAAATAACATATTATCCCAATTTTATACACATAAAAGGGAATTGCACTAAAATATCAAAAGAAGATTTTCTTAAATGAGTGGTAGAATTATAAGTGATTTTTGGGGTTCATTTTATTTTTTAAATTTTTTATCTTTTATTGATTTTATTTTTTTTAAATACACGACAGCAGTGGAATGCATTACTATTCTTATTACACAAATAATAGAGCACAATTTTTCATATCTCTGTATATAAAGTATGTTCATGCCAATTTGTGCCTTTATAATGTATTTTGTTTTTCTTTGCATAACAAGTCTTAATGTTCATATTTACCACAATTTTTCATATCACATTTTTCATACATGAAAAATGTGATATGAAAATATCAATTAAGCCTTCTGTTCTCATATATATATATATGAAAAATATCAAATTTATCACAATTTTTCATACCACATTTTTCATATGTATATAAAGTATGTTGTGATTGTGGCACCTGGCGCGTAGTGATGGCGCCTTCTGTAGCCAGCTCAGGTGGGCCGTGTGAGTGGTCACAGGCGCTCTTACTCCAATGTGGTCAGAGAGATTGTGCTGGACTCCAAAGCGAGAGCCGTGCTGTACAAAAGCCGAGTTTGTGCCAAAGAGTTCTTTCTGGACAGAAGCGAGAAGAAAAGGTGAACTTCATGAAATCAATCCATTTGTGAGACCCATGGAAAAGTTCTTCACTGAAAAGAGACCTTCTTTATTCCTGATCTGATGGTATCTGCCTAGAAGTCTACTTTGCCTCATAAATAAGAAATGGAGAGTAGCATCCCTAGTGAGAGGACTGAGTGACATCATCATATACCTCTTGCCATGATACGTGGGGAAATTCGTGGGGAGTCTGGATGGTTCTCTGATCTTGCAGACTTGGGTTCTGAGAACCCAAGGACTTGTACCTGTCTGACCTGTAGTTTGATGGTCAACACTGGAAATGGGACTTTGTCAAATGTACTTCCTGGAAGCCTGAAGATACATTAGGCATTCAACGGTTCCAACGGCACCCACTGTGCCTCTCCTCTCTGGCGTCATCGTTTTCACATTGACCGTCCCTTTGTTCTCCAGCATGATTGATGTGTATTGCAGCAACACTGCAAGTCCACCCATGACACAGTGATCCTTCTGACAGATGCCTCAGTGTTGTTGGGCTTCCCAGGGCAAGCTGTTCAGGCTGGGGTTGGCCTCCGTGTAGCCCAAGAGTCTTCTTTACCATCCTGGGGCAGGTTCTTAGTGCACATCACAGGCAACTAACAGGTCAAGACATACAGACATACCGTATAAGCACAATTAAGTCTTCGGTTCTCATTGACTTTAAATATTAATGTTTGTTGGGTTGGTTGGTTTGTGTACCGGAGATTGAACTCAGGGGCTGAGGCTGGCTTTAAACTCACTATCCTCCTGCCTCAGCCTCCCAAGCTGCTGGGATTACAGGCCTGTGCCGCCACACCTGGCTCTTGTTTAATTTTTCTGTACAGAAAATGATTTTAATTAATTTGCATTGGCTGTATTCCATTGGCCAAACCTAGCATTAGAAGCAGAAAAAGGGAGGCTTGTCCTGCCCAAGTTAGGAGGGTGCTGCCGTTTCTGTGTATTGGTGTGGTTGCGTTATAGTTAAGAATTGGGGCCATCAATGCTATCTGCCCCCAAGGAAGTGTTTTTCTATCTAGCTTAATTTTTTTTTCCTCTGTTTAGTTCTTTCTCATCTTATAGACTTCTATTAAATGTTACCTTAGGAAAGACTGAAATAGTCTTCGATGAAAATATTGTTATCTGCTCAAAAAAAAAAGTATGTTGACCCCCAATTCGAGTCTTCATACACGTACTTTGTTGAATGATGTCCATCACATTCCACCATCCTTGCTAATCCCCTGCCCCCTCCCTTTCCCTCCCAGCCCTCTTCTCTGTAGAGAATTCATCTACTCCTCCCATGCTCCCCCTCCCTACCCCACTGTTCATTTTATTTTATTTTTTTTTCCTGCATTTTCCAAGTTTCTTGCTGTAACCAAGTAGGGAAAGGCTTGATGTTTCTCTCCCAGCCTAACTTAGGGCCTCACCCTTGCCCGATTAGAGCAACCCCTCCTCTGTGGACATTATGACCAATGCAACCTGCAGAGGTCTCCAGGCTGGGGGGTCCCTGGGTTTGTCCTGAAGGACCAGGGACTGGTGGCTTAGATGACCCAATGAGAAGGAGAAGTGGAATCTTCTTGGGGCTTGGACAGGGGGCCTTGGTGGTAGATGAAAAGGCAGAGAAGAAGAAAGGTCAGGAGAGAGGCAGGGTCTCACTTCCTGACCCCGTCTCTTCCCTGCCACCATCTTGTCACCTTAATGCACCCTGGGTGAGGAAGGAAGTGAGATTTGCGAGGTGACAGAAGTATGAATCCCCCCACTTTGCAGTTTCCTGAGACGCAGAGATGTGTGCTTCTCTTTCTGCCTGTGTTTGGGTTTAAATATCCTCACTTTCAGAAAAGCCACTTGGTTTTTGCTTCCTTCTTCTCTGAGTAGGTGCGAAAATCACTGGAAATGCTCAAAACTAGGCAGAACAGGAGACAACAACCAGGTTCAACATCTTCTTGAAACAAATGAGCATGAGTCTGTTTTCGACGATGCACAGTGTTAACTGGGCACATAAAGATGTTTTGTGTGTGAATGTGTCAGGGGCCACGGGGTTTATGTGGATGGGACCAATGTCCCTATAATGAGATTTTAAGTGGATCCACCCAAGGGGTCGACATTCATTCCTTCCAGCAACAGCTGGCCCACGTCCCATTTCCACCTCTACCAGCTCTGCAGCCGGAGGCCAGTCCCTGGGCTCTCCAGGAACTCTGTCCCTGTCCCAGGCTGACACCCAGGGGTTTCCTGCACAGCCAGAGACCTTGAGACCATCCAGCTGTGTGTCTGGTGATGTGACCTGTGCACAAATCTGTGTCTTCTCAGATGCCGGAGCCATCACCTACATGTATGAGTTTCAGTATCACCCGAGCTTCGCATCACATGAAAGACCCAAGTCGGTGGAAGGAGACCATGGGGACGACGTCTACTCTGTCTTTGGGATGCCATTTTTAAAAGGTAATGGCTGTGCTGGCTGCAAGCTTGTGGACAGTAGGCCTGGGTTCCAGTGTTGCTTTGGTGGCCTTGAGCAACTTCTGCTGTCCCAGGCTGAGCTTCTGACTCCTTGGAACAGGGCTGAGCTACCCAGAGCAGTTCCCAGCCTCTCTCCTGCTACTATGCAAGGAGGAGGTATGTGCATGTGTCCTGAGCCAGAGTGACTCTCAGAATCCTGACCTGTGACATCAATGAGAGAGGTGGTGGTCCACCTGCAGGGCCCTCTCAGTTGCTGAGAGTCATGCTAAGTTGCTGAGGCTGGCTTTCAACTCCTGATCCTCCTCCCCCAGATGCATGTCCTGCATTTCCCACAAGGTGCTGCTGCTGGCCCATGCAGTCAAAGCGGTTTTTCCTTCTTCACCAACAGGGGGCGCCTCACAAGAGGAGACCAAACTCAGCAGGATGGTGATGAAATTCTGGGGCAACTTTGCTCGCCATGGGTGAGGCTGGTGGCAAAGAGGGAGCAGGGTGGGTAGGTGGGTGGGCGGCATGGGGTGGGGCCTACCCTTTGGGAAGAGGTGAAAGTGCGAGTGATAGACCCCAGAACTGTGATGGTGGTGCTCTGAGAACTTACAGGCTGCCCCGAGAGATGGAGAGTTCCCTATCTCTGGAAAGCAGAGAAAGTCCAGGGAGTTCCTGAAAGGTCTCAGAGAAATGTTCGGACCACGAAGTAGCTTTGGGTAATTTCTATTTGATTCTGTTCTCAGGAACCCCAATGGAAAAGGACTCCCCCACTGGCCAGAGTACAGCCAGAAAGAAGAGTACCTGAAGATTGGCCCCCAAACCAAGGCCGCCATGGGGCTGAAACACAGGGAAGTGGTTTTCTGGACCACGCTGAAGTCTGGGAGAGTAGGACAGCTGCTTCACGAAAGACAGGAGTGTATGAACGCCACTGGCCAGAGAAGAGAGCTGTGTATGAGGGACAGAAGCACAGAGTACTCATAGTTCTGTGTGCCACCCTCCAAGAACCCCAGGGGCAAAACAGGTGTGGGTTCTGAGAGGATGGAGATTTGTGGGCTGGGCTGGGCATAGACCAGGGAGGGGGAATGTTTTTGCTTATGACCTCCATTTGTGAAATAAATGTTCTTCCTGTTATCAAATCAGTCTCTGGGACTGGAGCTAGAGATGAGACCTTCCTCCTCAGAGAGAGTCTGCAGAGAGAGGCACCATCAGGAGATAGGAAGGCTTCACTTCTATTGGGGTAGTTCATCCTCTGGACCTGCCCAGTCCAGCAGTATGGGACTCTGGACCTGCCTCATGTCACAGGACCCCCAACAACTTCCAACAATAGGATCTGGGATGGTCAGTGTGGAGGGTCTCCCTCCTCAATTTGGAACTATCTGTGGAGAAGGCCAGGTGCCACGGCGAGCCTGTGGCATAGTTCCATGGCTTCCTGACCGTCCCACAGTTCTGCAGTCCCCTCCTCGACATACACAGTCACCACCCAGGCCCCTCCACGAGACTCTCCCCTCCAAAACCTCTTCTGAGCCCTTCTGTACCCTGGACCACTTCAGGTCTCAGCAGTGACCTCACTAGAGCAAGACCTTTAAAGTATCATGTAAAACAGCCTCCTTCAGAAGTTGAGGGCTGACTGCTGGGTTCTGCAGCAGTCAAAGCTCTGAAGAGTCTCACTCCAACTGGGACAGCAAGGGACAGCTGGATTGTCCTCAGAATCAGAACTTTCTGCACCTAGAGAGCTGAAGGGGCAAGGCACGTGGGCACCCTGAAATCCAAAGGAAGAGAGCATTTGGAGGAGAGGTGGATGTGAACGCTGGCTTATTTTCCGTCCACAGGAGGAGAATTTGGTTGTTCTATGTGTGAACAGAAATATTCTAAACGGTTTAATCCAGTGCTAAATGTGGCCTAGTATGAGAGTTTGAAATACCTGGAACTCGAGTAGAAAAACTAAACTCAGCCCCAGCTTGCCCCATACACTCACGATCCAGATCCCTTCTGACTCCAGCTGGGGGGGGGGGTTGTTCCCCCACGTATTAAGCAAGCAATTCTGCAGCAGCCGAGCCACCTCTAACTCAATTGGGTTCTGATGCTATCGACCTGGAGATGATGTCACATCCCATGGGCTGAGGGCTCTCTCTAACAAAACTGCCCCCTCCTTCAGGTGCCAGGCACAACTCCACATGGTTTTTACCTGAACTTCTTATTGACTGGCTATAAATGGGGATTCCCAAAACTCTCTCCTTGAGTTCGATTAATTTGTTTAAGCAGCTTACTGAATTCAGGGAATTCAGTGTGTGTGTGTGTGTGTGTGTGTGTGTGTGTGTGTGTGTAAACGATATTACAAAGGATACAGATAGAAGGTGAGCTATGGGGACAGAAGCACAGGGTACTCGTAGCACAGAGTACCCTCAGTTCTGTGTGCCACCCTCCACAAGCTCAGTTCTCCAGAATCTCCCCGAATCCTGACCTTTCAGACGTGTGTGGGGGCTTCCTTATGTCGGCATGATTGATGAGACCATCAGAGGTTGGCAACCAGCTCAGCCTTCAGTCCCTCTCCCCTTGGGGGCTGGGGGGCTTTAAGTCCCAGCCCCCTTTCCCTGCTTTTGTCTTTCCACAGACCAGAAGCTACCTGGGGGTGGCAGCAATCATTTGCATCCAAAAAGACACTTTAGAGATTCTGAGGATTTGAGGAGACATATGCCAGGAAACGGGCCTGGCATCCAGAAATGCAATATCACCAAACCACACACCCAGGGAGAGTCTACACTCCGACAGACTCCTCTCCGTGGACCTCTCTGTGGTGCTCATGAGAAAGGCTGAGCACGGGGAGTAAGGCTGAGAAAACCTGCTTCCAAGGGTGCGGGCCTGAAGCTCTGCCAGGTCCTATCTCCCATAAAGAACAAAAACAACCACCAGGAAGAGGGCGGCAGACCTGACCCCTCCTCAGGAACTGGTGAGCACCTGTTGAGGCCGAACAAAAGGAAAAATGTTGAGCTCTGTACCTCTATGGCGCACCAGCCTCTCCCGGGTCAAGATCATTAGAGAACTTTGAGTGCTGGTGAGAGGCAGGATCCCTGAGGGGAACACCAGGCTCCCCAAGGTTGAGTCTGAACCAGGGAAGAGAAACAATTCCCGGATGCAAAGACCCAGTCCCAGGACTTTCCCGCTGGGGAAGAGTAGAAGTCTGGAGAGAGACCTTCCCTGTAGGCAGGAGCACAAGGCAGGTGTGGAGCTGAGGGCGGAGCAAAACATTTCTAAAACCCCTTCAGAACCTTCCCGCGCACAGGGGATACAGAACAGAGCTCAAGGGCACACTGGAAGAATTTGAAGTTGGTGGTGCACTTAGGATATCCAAGGTAACAGTGTGCACACATACACACACATACACACGCACGCACGCATGCATGCACGCATGCACGCAATCAAGAAGAAAAGACACGCCCATTTTTATTTCTAAATGCCTTCAGTTTCAACTTCCTTACACATTATGTAAAGCATTGAATCCAAAAATTGTAAACACACCCACACACAGAGCAAGAAAACATCTATCGACAAGAGAGAAAGCAAACAACAGACCCAGATTCAGAGATAACCGAGGTGTCAAGCCAACAGACGGGGGACTTAAAATAATCTTATGAAAAGCTTACATGAACGGATGGGTAATGTCACCGTTTGGATAGGAGATGTCCCCCAGAGGCTCACATTTGAGACAATGCAACAAGGTTCAGGGGCAAAATGATGAGGTTATGCAAGGTGTAACCTAATCAATGGCTTAATCCACTTATATGGATTAATTGAGTGGTAACTATAGGCAAGTAGGGGGTGACTAAAAGACGTAGGTGACTGACGGTGTGTACCTTTGGGGTATATATTTTGTCCCTGCTGAGCAGAATGCTCTGTCTGAGCTTCCTGATCCCCAGGGACTGAACTGCTTTGCCACATCCTTCTGCCATGATGCTCTGCCTCACCTCGAGCCCCAAGGAATGGAGTTAGCCATCTATGGACTGAGACCTGTGAAACTGTGAGCCCCCAAATAAGCTTTTCTTCCTCTACATTTGTTCTTGTCAGGTCTTTGGGTCACAGCAGCCTAGCATGCAGGCAGTGACATGGATATTGCTGGCAGCTTTTAGCCAAGTTTATTATGATAATCAGGAGCAGAAAGAGTTGAAAAACTTGCAGTTTGGCCAGAAAACTTCAAGTAAAGCTGGGGCTAAGAAGGTGTGGTTGTTAAGAAGATGGCAGCCACTAAAGACGTGGTGGATACCCCCCCAGAGACGACAGGAAATGTGGCTTGCGGGCATCTCAGCAGTTGGCAAGGCCACACACTCAAGGATGCAAAGGTAAAAATTCCTTTGAGAGGAGACCATGGGAGCACCCTGCTTGCACAGGGGTGCCTGGGAAGTTGTTTCACCTTGTTCAGCCACCCAGGCACTCAGAAGCTGCTGTGACTGTGGTCCCCAGAGGCCTGACTGCTGCTTGAGATGGCAGCAGAGCATGGCATCATCTGCGGGAGGCTGGTTCTGCAGGAACACAGGATGCTGGAGTTAGGGGGTGATGGAGGCTCCCACCGAGATTTCCAAGGAAGGCCCCGGCGGCCAGGCAAAGTGCAGCAGGGCCAGTGTCCCTGAGGGCTCCGAGACCCTGAGAGGGCAATGCATGAAGAAGTGAGACGGAGCCCCAGGATTAAGAAATGCCAGCACCATGGAGGGTCCGCCAAGGAGGGCCGCAGAAAGCAAGCTCAGACAAGCCAAAAGAGGGGCCACTGGGCTGCCACCCACAAGGCCACAGGAGCAAGCGACACAGCTCTTGGGAGAGAACAGTGGATGCCAGGTACCCCGAATCCTGAACATGGAGCCTTGGGGCTTGTCTGCCCAGCTGAATCTGTGTGTGCTTTGGTCCCATCTCGTCTTGCTGTGCCCCTATTTCCCCTTATCGTATGGAAGTGTTACTCTGTTCCTGTCTACGATGGACATGTGACTTGCTGTCAATATTTACGGGGACTCGTTGTTAAGAGTTTGTCTTGAGTCTCACATGTATTTTGGACCTGGACTTTTGAGCAACGCTACAACCGTTAGGACTGCGGGAACTCTGGGAAAGGGACTAAATATATTTTTCATTGTGAGATGGGCATGAGCTTTTGGGAGCTGGGGGTGAATACTATACACACACACAAAAAAAAAAAGAAAGAAAAAGAAAGAAAAGGAAAAATTGCAGCCAATAATAGAGAAAAATATTGAAGCATTAAAAACATTCGATCCAAAAGCAAGCAGTTAAACTGGGAAATAAAGGAACCAAGAACACAGAACCACATAGAATATTCTGTTAAACCAGATTTTAATCCAACCATACCGATAATCATGTGACATGAAAATGTCTTAAAATTCTCAATTAAAAGAGATTATTAGATTAGATTTTAAAAGCAAGACCAACCCGGTGGTGCGTAATGAGGCGCCCACTCCGCTCCTGGATAATGCACTGCCCACAGCTTTGAAGCCTCTCCCCTCCCCCGCCCATCTTGCCCCTTATCTGGAAATGCTGATAAGCAAGGCTGGTGCTTCCTCCTTTAAGCCAAAGATCCAAACCTCCCAAAGCTCACCACGGCCTGTCCCCTAACCAAACAAAGGCCCCGGGACAGTGTCCTTCCCTTGCTCTCTCAGGCCGTGCTGGACCTGCCTTGCAGAGACCCCAACCATGCAGGCAGCAAAATCCTTTGAGCTTTCTTGTGAGTCCGGGGGGACTGTAACCCTGGGGCGGAACTAGAGAGCTAAGCACACAGCTGGGTTGAGAGTAAGAGGCAGAAGAGACGCAGCACAAGATCCCCCCAAGGAAAGCTGGGTTCCACAGGGACATGTCTAAGGACAAAGGGGTCAACTCACTGAGAAGCCATGGCAGTCCTCGATGTGGACACACCCAACAACAGCGTCACCGAGGACCAGCGTGATGTCTTGGGTTTGGTCCACTCAAGTGCAGGCCCTGGGTCAAGGATT